ACCTCAAAATACATGTTCGATGGAAACATTGTGCAATATGATCAAATTTGAAGCTGCTTTCAATATATTTAATTAGTTTGACCACTGCATTTCAGTTGGTGACAGTTCAGTTGGAAATCAGTAAAAGCATCCCGTCTCTTACCATTGAAGTGAATATTCAATTTATACTGTATTGTAATAAATATTTGAGAAATTGTGTCTGATTGTATTAGTCTAAATAGAGTGATAGTCAATGTAAAAAGAGCAAATGGGAGAAGCAGATGAACACAAAACAGCTTACCAACATAAAGTTAAAGACTCACCAGTTCTTGTTTTTTGGAATTGTTTACTGCTCTGAAATCAGACTTATCTGTGAGCTACAAGTATAAAATAGATAGAATTATTAGACAATAGGGTTATTACACTAACAAAGGTGTTTCCATCATCATAAAGCCACAGATCTGAAATCTTTATTGAAAGGTTTGAAGGTTTCAGCAGTGATCAGACACATCTGCAGATTTAGTGTATCGCAAACCCGTCTGTGTGTCATTACTGAGCCCATATGCAACATAATTCATCTTCAGCTGATCCTGAGGGAATAAAATCTGCAGTTTTCTGGCAGATTGTCAAAGTTCAGACTGCTTTGGAAAGTTGCACAGAGTTTTCTGGCTCTCACTGAGAAACTGCTGAGATGTCATGAATACATTTCTTTGTTGGCACTAAGAAAAAATGAGACCTTGCTTTAAAAAGCACTGTGGTGGTACCATGGTACAGTGATGGTATCAGATGGTAATACTGTCAACAGTATAGTACATTCCACTGATGATTACCATGTTATCATGGTATTTGCAAAGTTAAAAATAAATATAAAAAAATACTGTATTATTAGATGTCCAAAACATGAAATTTTTTTGTAAAGCAGTCAACATGTTTCCATAATAAAAAGGTGTGCGTATATATATATATATATATATACACCAAAAAAAACAAAAAAACATTTTGTTGTAATGAGGCTATAAAAACAATGCACACACACACACATATCCGGCGCGATGCTCGAGGGGCTCGGGGGGCTCTGAGTGTCTCGTATTAAAGCTGTGAGCTCAGAGAGGCTGTAAATGAACGCAGGTCTGATCTAACGAACACACGAGCGTGTTTCTGTCGTTGTGTCGCTGCTTTAGGGCTGATCGCCGCACACAGGCCTGAGATCCGCAGATCCTGCTCAATGCATCATCTATTCAGTACTACAACAGAAGTGCATTGATTCAGAAAGTATTTAAACACGATTCATATGTCTGAATAGCAATGCATTAGAATCTATAATATAAAAGTAAGAGCGATTTGTTGAAAATATAAACGCTTTGCAGTCAAAACCTTTGAAATACTTGGTTTAAAACGATTAAACAGTGAATCTGTGTTGTAAATGAGACATTTGCTTGAATATGCTGATAGTGAATGTGGTTCTCGAGGTGTGTGTGAACTTGGGGAGAGCTGACTTGATGCATCTTTATACAAAGATGAAGAAAACTGAAGCTAGAGAACAGAAATGATCCTGCAGCATTTGAGATGCACGGATACAGATTTAATAAATGACATAAAGACATATTAAGTGTCACTTACGTGAACAAGTTCTTTTGTTACTTAAGTGATATGTGAAAGTTCACAGGGCAGACAGATGTAACAGCTTCTGTACCTGTGCATGAACTGATCAGAAACTGAAATCTGGATATTTCAAGTGTTTGCAAGTGCTGATTTGAACAACGAAAGTGCTTTGTTTTGGTGTCAGTTGGTTAAAGTTGAGCCTCTTGTTCAGGTGTGAGTAAAGGAGATCTAGCGTTTGCATAAAAGCAAAGGCGAGAGTGTCCTGTTTTCACGGGATGGTTAACAGCCAGCAACACATCACAGCTTGCGGTTCGTGTGGTTTGAGTTTTTGCACCTTCGCATGTGAAGCAGATGACTCAAATGTGCTCAAACTGTTTGAATGAACTGTATGTTATGTATGTAAATGTCACATTGTGTTGAATTCTCAATTGCTGGTTTGAACCAAGGAATACAAAAATTTCCATTTATATTCGTATACTTTGTATATAATGTGATTTATATAGTATAAAGTAATTAGTTTATATCTATATATGGAGAGCGAAAGTGTGTAGATATATAAACATTTTGTTTTATCTACACTTTAAATGTAAGATATTATATAAAATATATTATAATAAAAAGTTGTATTTATAGTACCTAATAATTAAATATGTAACTTACATAATAAATAATGTGTTTATGTGTGTGTTGCAATTCAAAGGTTTGGGATCAGTAAGATATTTAATGTTTTTTTTAAAAAGGTCTCTCTCAAAAATAAAAAATACTGGGGGAAAAACTGTAATATTGTGAAATAATTATTGCATTTTAAAATAAACGCATTCTATTTTAATATACTTTAAAATCTAATTGATTCCTGTGATGCAAAGCTGAATTTTCAGCATCATTACTCCTTCTATGATTTTTAATCAAACTGTTTGAATGAACTGTATGTTATGTATGTAAATGTCACATTGTTTGTGTTGAATTCTCAATTGCTGGTTTGAACCAAGGAATACAAAAATTTCCATTTATATTCGTATACTTTGTATATAATGTGATTTATATAGTATAAAGTAATTAGTTTATATCTATATATGGAGAGCGAAAGTGTGTAGATATATAAACATTTTGTTTTATCTACACTTTAAATGTAAGATATTATATAAAATATATTATAATAAAAAGTTGTATTTATAGTACCTAATAATTAAATATGTAACTTACATAATAAATAATGTGTTTATGTGTGTGTTGCAATTCAAAGGTTTGGGATCAGTAAGATATTTAATGTTTTTTTTAAAAAGGTCTCTCTCAAAAATAAAAAATACTGGGGGAAAAACTGTAATATTGTGAAATAATTATTGCATTTTAAAATAAACGCATTCTATTTTAATATACTTTAAAATCTAATTGATTCCTGTGATGCAAAGCTGAATTTTCAGCATCATTACTCCTTCAGAAATCATTATAATATGATTTATTTATATACTGTGTATATATAATATAAACAAATAATTGTATTATATACTATACATCACATTACCTATGAAGTGTATCTCTTTATGATCATTGATTGCACGAGTGAGAGATGCTGGCTGCTGTGGGCTACAGTAGATGGACACACAGGCCTCAGGGTTTCAGTTTTTTGTCCTCTGAGGGCTTTTATTTGGGCTCTGCTTCAGTTCTGAACTCTAATGAAGTGACCTAATGATATGGGACAGATCTCTGGTCTGTGATGAAAGAAAATCGGCTGGATTTGTCCCACAGGGATAGACGGGCTCGCTTTTGACACTGGTTGTCTGGCTTGTAATATAACTTTAGATTTCATTTTTAATTGGAACATTTGATATGATTTCTTGCGGCTTTAATTGTTCGATTATGTTCTCTTTTTGAGAGACTTGAGACTGATTGATTGATATGAATATCTGTCTGCAGAATCGAAATGCAGATTGCCTACTGCAAGCAAGTCCTGTAATATTGTTCTTCAGTAAACAAGTTACACTCATACTGCTGGAATCTGAGTTTGCTTGGAAAGTGATTTGATGCATTTCTATAGATTTTCTCTGGATAAAGCATGTAAAGCACTCTTTTATCCTGTGTGTTAGTGGCGTCATTTGTCAGGAGAGGATGTTTGCTTGGTTTATCTTCCTTTCTGAGAGTCAGCGGTAGTGTGTGTTGGCTGTAGTCTCAGACGGCACGCCTACAGACCGTTCATGAACCACCACATTCATATTCCACACAAAAATCTCATTGCTCCAATCTGATTGGCTGACTTTGCTGTTTTGAATTACCTGCAAACCCCTGAAGAAAGTTACATGGTCATTGTCTCTTCCTGTCTAAACGTAGAGTAATCTGTGGTGTGGATCCGATTTTATGCTGGTATGTGAGATTATTTTGGTCCTGACATCATTTAAAGGGGTCATATGATACGATTTCAAGTTTTCCTTTCTCTTTGGAGTGTTACAAGCTGTTTGTGAATAGATAAGATCCCTAAAGTTGCAAAGACTAAAGTCTCAAACCCAAAGAGATATTCTTTATAAAAGTTAAGACTCGTCCAAAGCCCTCCTAAAACGCCTCGTTTAAACACGCCCCCATATGTCTACGTCACTGTGTGGGAAAATTAGCATAACGTTGCCCAAATGTTCACGCAAAGAAAGAAGGCGTAACTTTGATTCTTGAGAGTAGACAACAATGCCGTCTACACACAAAGGCAGTTTCTATAAAGTGGGGCAGTTACAACTTTGCAAGCACAGTATGGCGCTTCCGACTCACAACCTGTAAGTACGTTTTCATATTTAAAGAATTTGCCACTGACGATTCAAACTCGAGTTTTGGGCAGTGTAGAGTAGCGCTTGTTGTTTGTCATTTCTCCGATCACTGCATGGTTTTATGTTTACGCGGCGCGATGCAATGCAATGCAACGAGTAAAAAGACAGTACAAGTAATTATAATCAGTAATTATGTCCCCACTGGATGCAACAAATGCCTCGTTTGTAATGGGTTTTAATGTTTTTGTCTCGTCGCGCCGGCCGGGACACGGCATCACAGTATGGTAGGGGCGTAACATTTCCGTCACACGCTTGAGGTATTCAGCCAATCACAACGCACTGGATAGCTGGCCAGTCAGAGCACACACATTGTAAAAATCAATGCGTTCCAGAAAGGCGGGGCATAGAGGAGAAACAATAATGTACAGTATGTGGAAAATAATGTGTTTTTTTTAACCTTAAACCACATAAACACATTTCATTACACCAAATACACAGCAATGTCATATGACCCCTTTAAGGAAAGCGTCTCAGTGAGGACATCATGTTTCTCAGAGTTTAGGTTTTGTCTCTAAGCAGTAAATCTGAAAGCTGTGTGAGAGACCACATGGTGAATGTTAACGGTGAGCAGGCGTTAGTCCAGAGCGTTCGTCTGGTTTGCTGGAGCCAGCTGAAATCTGCTGCAATATGTTTCGTGGTTTTTCCTCATTCTTTGTTTGTTGTCTGTCTGTCGTTCCAGGTGTTGGAAAGAGCAGTCTTCTCCTGCGCTTTGCAGACAACACTTTTTCAGGTAAGATGCATGAACATGTCCGGCGTCATCTCTCTGATTTATTATCATGCTTGAAGAGTGCAGACAGTCCTGAGATTTTCTGAAGCCAAGAGCGTGAAGATGGCCTGTTACAGCTGCTGTTTGTGTTGAGAGTATTTTACTTTGTCCTCTACCTTATGTTCATTAAATTAAAAAAATAGAAATCATCCAAGTTCTTGCGCAGCTTTTAATTTCTACTATGTAGAAATTAATTTATGGAAATGAATATATTCAAGTAACTCTTATTTTAATTTGTAAAGAGAAATCAAATAAGTTTATGAATGATACACTACCATTCAAAATTATGGGGTCAGTAAAGAAGTTAATGCTACAATAATGTACAGTATGTGGAAAATAATGTGTTTTTTTTAACCTTAAACCACATAAACACATTTCATTACACCAAATACACAGCAATGTCATATGACCCCTTTAAGGAAAGCGTCTCAGTGAGGACATCATGTTTCTCAGAGTTTAGGTTTTGTCTCTAAGCAGTAAATCTGAAAGCTGTGTGAGAGACCACATGGTGAATGTTAACGGTGAGCAGGCGTTAGTCCAGAGCGTTCGTCTGGTTTGCTGGAGCCAGCTGAAATCTGCTGCAATATGTTTCGTGGTTTTTCCTCATTCTTTGTTTGTTGTCTGTCTGTCGTTCCAGGTGTTGGAAAGAGCAGTCTTCTCCTGCGCTTTGCAGACAACACTTTTTCAGGTAAGATGCATGAACATGTCCGGCGTCATCTCTCTGATTTATTATCATGCTTGAAGAGTGCAGACAGTCCTGAGATTTTCTGAAGCCAAGAGCGTGAAGATGGCCTGTTACAGCTGCTGTTTGTGTTGAGAGTATTTTACTTTGTCCTCTACCTTATGTTCATTAAATTAAAAAAATAGAAATCATCCAAGTTCTTGCGCAGCTTTTAATTTCTACTATGTAGAAATTAATTTATGGAAATGAATATATTCAAGTAACTCTTATTTTAATTTGTAAAGAGAAATCAAATAAGTTTATGAATGATACACTACCATTCAAAATTATGGGGTCAGTAAAGAAGTTAATGCTTTTCAGCAAAGGATGCATTAAATTGATTAAAAGTGAGAGTAAAGACATTTATACCATAGATTTCTATTTTAAATGCTGTTCTTTTGAACTTTCTATTCATCAAAGAATCCTGAAAAGTCAAATGTATCTCAGTTTCCACAAAAATATGAAGCAGTACAACTGTTTTCAACATTGATAATCATCAGAAATGAGCAGCAAATCAGCATATTAGAATGGCTTCTGATGGATCATGTGACACTGAAAATTGGAGTACATTTTAAAATATTTTCAAATAGAAAAGTTATTTCAAATTGTAATAATATTCCACATTAATACAAATTTTACAGTATTTTTGCTCGAACTGAAATCATTGTCATATTATCATGTCTAATAATGGATTGTGTGATGCGTAAGCTCTATGTAGGCCAACAGTGTGGTGTTCCTAAAATATTCTTCAGGATTTAGGACTTCAGGTTTATAGAACGTATTATGAAAATAAAGGACTAGAAAAAGCCCAAGCTAATCTATTATGATGGCATATTCAATGCATGCTCTTTGGTGTTGCTTTGTGTTGTAGGTAGTTACATCACCACTATAGGAGTCGACTTCAAGATCCGGACGGTGGAGATTAATGGAGAGAAGGTGAAGCTGCAGATATGGGACACAGCCGGACAAGAGCGATTCCGAACCATCACATCTACGTGAGTCAAACGCATGACATTATCAAACTACTGCTGAGCTGAACGTATCCTATGTATGTTCTATGATGTGCACATGCATGTGCTTTTCATATTTCAGAATAAATCATAATACAAAGGGTCAGAAATGTGCTCAAAGAAAGTTTAGTACAGGAAGAATAAATCTTTCTTGGTCTGAATAAATTCTTTATGGTATTTCTATTTGAATAGAAATGGTGCTTTCATTCTTAGTTTCAGTAATAACATTCTAAGACATTGAAAATAATGTTCCAAGACATCTTTGTTTGGGGGTGTTGTGTGTGCCAGCGTGGCTGTGTTAATGTTGCGAACAGAACGCTTCAGGGAATCTGTTTGAAGTTCCTAATTAGTGCTGTAACGTTTTATAGCCGCTGTTTGACTGAGGATCAGCGTCTACCATCGGCACTCAGTGAAGCTGTCCTTGGGCTTTAAGGTCACAGTTCCTGTGGCAAGAGGATTTATTTGTTGGGATGTTTGGATGTATCTTACATTTCCTGAAGCACACACCGTTACGTAATACACTTGGTTTGTGTAGAAGCTATCATACAGGTTTTGCTTCATAAAGTACATTTAATTAATAGCTAGCTTAAGTTTCAATTGCAACTTTACCTGAAAAATCTGAATACTGCAGGTCTTATGACTTCCTTACTATTGTTGTTTTGTTTTCCAATATCTAAAATCTAAAATCAATATCAAGATACATTTACTTGAGACGTAAAATGAAGAAATGAGGTCTTGTTTTCTGAGAAACTGAACAAAATTGAATGAGTTTATGCCCAAAACAAGAACAAATATCTGCCAGTGGAAAATAAAAAACTTGTTTTCCATTTGAATTAAGTTGATATTTCTGAGCCCATTGACAACTTTGTTTTAAGTACTTAATTTTGATAGATAGATTTCTCATAAACAAGACTTCATTTGTTATTTTGCTTCTCAAGGAAATGCATCTTGATTTAAGAATCTTTTTAAGAATTTGCACTGGAGAACAAGGCACAAATAGGCCTACACATTTTTGCAGTGTGATCAGAAGATGCAGTAAAAGCTATTTCCATATTCTAGTGGTTGGGAGGAGAGCTATTCAAGCCCTTTTTTGTGTAAAGTAAGTGAAAAAGTAATAGAATTATTGGAAAGTTTTTTCTTTTTCTTTTAAGGGACATTTAGAGACCATATTGACATATTGTGTTGCATTCAATTTATTTCTTACATTTTCTTGGTCTTAAAAAGTCTTAAATTTACTTCATAAAACCTGCAAAAATCCTCCGAATTATAACTTGCATTAAAATATTTAAGACTTCAAACAACTTTTATGTCTGTCAAAATGCAAAGACACTTTTTTTTTGTAAGTTTTGGTCTTATGTTAATGTGGCGACGTAGTTCAAGTGTGCAATGGCCTGAAGCCGGTTGGTCATTAAGTAGCTAACAAGGGAATGTATGCCGCTTCATTAGTGTCTCATTAGTGTGTATGTACGGTCATGCATGTTTATGTGAGGTTTTGATCTGTTATTAAGGGCTGTGATAGAACTGTGACAGGCTCGGTCAATGACAGACAAGGGTTTGGTCACTCCAGGCCTCTCAAAGAGCTCTTTGTGCGTGCATGTCTTTGTGTCTGTGTTTGGAGACAGAAGACGGCCTGTGCTTTTAAAGCCGGAGGGCTGTTCCTCCATCCACTGTTGGTTACTGAGAGAAATTCTTGTTAATTTTAAATCTGAACTCTTTAAAACTCCTTATTTTCATTCTTTTTCTTTTAAGGGACATTTAGAGACCATATTGACATATTGTGTTGCATTCAATTTATTTCTTACATTTTCTTGGTCTTAAAAAGTCTTACATTTACTTCATAAAACCTGCAAAAATCCTCCGAATTATAACTTGCATTAAAATATTTAAGACTTCAAACAACTTTTATGTCTGTCAAAATGCAAAGACACTTTTTTTGTAAGTTTTGGTCTTATGTTAATGTGGTGACGTAGTTAAAGTGTGCAATGGCCTGAAGCCGGTTGGTCATTAAGTAGCTAACAAGGGAATGTATGCCGCTTCATTAGTGTCTCATTAGTGTGTATGTACGGTCATGCATGTTTATGTGAGGTTTTGATCTGTTATTAAGGGCTGTGATAGAACTGTGACAGGCTCGGTCAATGACAGACAAGGGTTTGGTCACTCCAGGCCTCTCAAAGAGCTCTTTGTGCGTGCATGTCTTTGTGTCTGTGTTTGGAGACAGAAGACGGCCTGTGCTTTTAAAGCCAGAGGGCTGTTCCTCCATCCACTGTTGGTTACTGAGAGAAATTCTTGTTAATTTTAAAGCTGAACTCTTTAAAACTCCTTATTTTCATTCTCAGGTATTACAGAGGAACCCATGGGGTCATAGTAGTGTATGATGTCACCAGTGCTGAGTCCTTTGTCAATGTGAAACGATGGCTGCATGAAATAAACCAGAACTGCGATGAGGTCTGTCGAATATTAGGTGAGTTCTCCAGTAAATGTTGCATGTTACGTTTTATTTTATTTTGTATAATTTTTATATGTATATTGTTTTATTTAGTTTTATTTATTTTTCAAGTTGAGTTCTGTTTGTATTTATATTTTGCATAAAGAAAATGAAGACTTTGTTTAGGATCAAGCACATTTCATGCCAAATTCTTGATGAAATTTGATGTTTATACATTGTAAAGTAATCATATATTATCATAGTATTTGTTGTGCTGCATTCAATTGATGCTTATTTAAAGAAATCATTGTAACAGTCTTTTTTTTTAGCTGTAGTACATTAAAAATGACTATTATAGTAATACATATATAATGATAATTTTTCAGTAATGTGCATTAAAAAGAGCATTAGCATGAATCATCATGAAAATGAAGTCAATTTAAAAAAAAACTACGTAATGGTCCTAAAATAGGCTTCATTTTTTCATGCAAATTATCATTTCTATTTGCCTTTTAGATTTACATGTTTTTATGAGATTCACTGCATTAGTTCAGGCTTCGGGTCTTCATGATGTGGACAGCAGAGCTCCTTTGACAGTCAACGACATCTTCTGCCACTTCAGGCTGTCCTTTGTCAATGTGAAACGATGGCTGCATGAAATAAACCAGAACTGCGATGAGGTCTGTCGAATATTAGGTGAGTTCTCCAGTAAATGTTGCATGTTACGTTTTATTTTATTTTGTATAATTTTTATATGTATATTGTTTTATTTAGTTTTATTTATTTTTCAAGTTGAGTTCTGTTTGTAAATGACCACTGTTTTGATTGGCTAATATCTTTGCATATGAAATATGGTGTTCATTCACACTGTGTGTAGTCATATGTTAATGAGCCCATGGTTGTGATGTTACTTCCATGAGATGAACCCTTTAGTACATGAATTAGCAGACTTGACAAAGTCAACCGAATGGTGAATTCTATATTAATTTCTGTCTACATTTTCTCCCTTCAGTGGGCAATAAAAATGATGATCCAAACTCTAAGGTTGTGGAGACGAATGACGCACAGAAGTTTGCTGAGCAGATGGGCATCAGTCTGTTTGAGACGAGTGCAAAAGAAAACATCAACGTGGAGGAGGTGAGTTCCTCAGGGCTCTGTATTGGGACCATTCAGATTGTGCTGTGAAACACCTAAAACTCACTTATGTGTCAGGTCTGGAAAACTCTCTAACATGTAGGCTACTTTTGCTCTGCTCTAGAGTATTTAGTTTCATATTTCACAGAATGAACACTTGAATAATCAATCACTTGTGCACATCCCTATTTGAAAGTAGTCAAAACTACATTTTAATTACCTGATATATGTCTCTGTGTGACATCTATTTTACAGCGGCTTCAAACGTGGCTCATCTAATCAGATTTTAGAGCCGTATATGTTGTATAAAGTGTGTTAATCTTTATTAGAATCCGTTTTGGAGGGTGCAATAACATATCCGTGTGTGCTTCTGGTCTTTGTGTAGATGTTTAACTGCATCACAGAGCTGGTGCTCCGGGCAAAGAAAGAGTCTGTGGCCAAACAGCAGCAACAGCAGCAGAACGATGTGATTAAACTCAGCAAGAATAGCAAACGAAAGAAAAAATGCTGCTAGTGGACGAACAGACGTTCCTCTGCACGGCGGTCTGCACACCAAGACGGACTGTGATCATCTCAGTTAAGATTTCACAAAAACACAGTGCGGACAAATGCAGTCCTTTTCTGGACCGAGACAAACCACAAAGACTTTTTAAAAGAAAATGTACAGATTTTATGAGAGTCAAGGAGTTTTATGTGGAATTCGTGATATTTAATAAAAGATCCTCCTTCTTTATTGAAGGACCAGCAAGCTGACGTGATCGCCAAACCGTGCAGGTTTCTGTATGCTTTCAGAATTACTCTTCAGTGATTATATATCTCTTATTATCCACCATCTCAGGAGTGATTTTTATTTTCTTCTTCTTTCTTCTGCTTCTCTTTTTTTGTGGAATGCCAGTGTTTTTTTTCCTGCAAGAACAATTTGGGCCTTTTCCTCCGTTTCTGCATTATTATTTTTATTTTTATGAAATCATACAAATACAGACATTTACTCACCATGGACTCAATCGGAGACAGATGCCAACAACTTTTTTTAGGTAATTTTAGACATTATTGATTAGTGATCCATCATGTGTTATCATTCTCTGATTGAATCTTTTGTTATTCCTCAAGCCCGTTCCTTCCTTTCATTGAGTGAATCTCACAAAAAAACATCTCCAGCTCACATTTAAAAATGATTTATATTTTGCATAAAGAAAATTAAGACTTTGTTTAGGATCAAGCACATTTCATGCCAAATTCTTGATGAAATTTGATGTTTATACATTGTAAAGTAATCATATATTATCATAGTATTTGTTGTGCTGCATTCAATTGATGCTTATTTAAAGAAATCATTGTAACAGTCATTTTTTTTTAGCTGTAGTACATTAAAAATGACTATTATAGTAATACATATATAATGATAATTTTTCAGTAATGTGCATTAAAAAGAGCATTAGCATGAATCATCATGAAAATGAAGTCAATTAAAAAAAAAACTACGTAATGGTCCTAAAATAGGCTTCATTTTTTCATGCAAATTATCATTTCTATTTGCCTTTTAGATTTACATGTTTTTATGAGATTCACTGCATTAGTTCAGGCTTCGGGTCTTCATGATGTGGACAGCAGAGCTCCTTTGACAGTCAACGACATCTTCTGCCACTTCAGGCTCGTGTTTTTCTGCTTTCATTTTTCCCGTGAAGATGAAGAGGATGAGGGTGGATGATGCTGCCATAATCTCAGAACAGTGTTGCCACACACTTCTCTTCTGTATCAGTCGTTGTAGTATTTCTCCGGACGCTGGAGTCGCATCTTTGGGTTTGTGGATGCATTCGATGGAAGCCAGTCTTAAAAACCAGATTTCATCTTCTGCATCTCACGGGAGAGCGACGTTGTTGTGCCATACGAGGTTGTATGAAGTACAATCATATGGACCCGGAAGACGCTGATACAAGGTTTAAAAACATAATTACCATGTTTATGCACAGTTGCAAAGGGTCTATCGCTAATATGAAATGTAATATGTTTTTATATGTGGAAGGGAGATGTTATGTTAAAGTGTTTAAGCCAGTGGGGTTCATCCCTAAATTTCTTGAATACGCTATTGACACTTTTATGGCAGATCCACATTTGACAGATACACAAGCTCTGCCATCCCTTTGTGTGATCTTCCATTGGCATCTCTATGGAGGTGAATCTCACCAAAACATGACAATGTCCCAATTCACCTTAAAAGAAAAAGTTATTTTTCATAAAGAAAATGAAGCTGATTATTAGGCACATTAATGTTGTCTTTAACATTACTATTTACATTTTAAGGCAAATGTAAATTTGGCAAAGAATTAAATTTAAAAAAAGTCAAAAAATGTTCCTAACGAAAGTGAAGCCAATTTTTAGGCACATTATTTTCTTTCTTCTGCATTAAAAGGTTAATGTAAAAATGTTGCTTTTTTTTGCAGAAAATTAAAAAGACCATAATTAGTTTTTTTTATGGAATATGCATAAAAAAATCGGTTATGCAATGAATTTAGATCTGCATTTAAGTCATTACAACAGAAAAAAAGGCATATTTATACTCTTGTTTTGCATTAAAATGTTAATGTAAAATTTACAATTTTTGCAGATAAGTAAATACCGGATTTAGTTTTTTATTATCTGTATTGAAGTCATTACGATGTTTTTGTGCATTGTGCATTTTTTGCAGATTTTTTTAATGTAATGCAATGAATTTAGAGCTGCATTAATTAATTACAACAAATAGTACAATGATCTATAAATGCATCAAAACTGAAATATGCAAAACATGGAAAAAGTTTAAGGAACCTAAAATGAGCTTCATTTTTCTTATATATATTTTTTTAATATCTAAAATGTAATGTTTGTGAGATTCACCAACAGAAATATTTTCACGATTTTTCATGATTAATTTAGTAAGCCAAAACACACCACGAGCCCTGGCTGTGCTGTGAGCCAATTTCAACCCAGTCATGTGACTTCAGTTCGTCACGCGTGTGCATATGCATGCACGCTTGACATATTAGCACATGTCCGTGCAAACTGTGCTGGTTGAAACACTTTTTTCAGCTGTGGTTATATTATACACTGGAGAAAAGAAATGTATAGTGGACCTCCCCTTTATGAATTAAATCATTAATAAATATTTTAAGAATTAATATTTGACACAAGCATGTTTGTCCTTGTCTTTATTAAGCATCATCACATTGCACATTTGTTTACAAGCTTTGCTCTTTCTTTTTAATGTTTATTGTTTTATTACTGGAATATCTGATAATTGAGAAGATTTAGCATTTGTATTTTATTTGTATTTTTTTATTCGGATACATCACAGTGCGTTCCACGTCAAGACATTGGAAGCTTTTTATACATGGACATCTGTTTGTCTGCATTTGTATATAACTTGGTATTTTAAAGGAATCTGTTGAAAAAATAAGAATTTAATAATTATAAAAACCCCAGATCAAACTCACTAGGAGTATAAATGGCAAACACCTTATGGAAAGTATAAAATCTGCCTTGTTTACATGTTTACCACGGTATTACTTACAAATGTACAGCTACATACACTTTTGTCTGGAAGTGAAGAATTTTACAAAATGCGATATATTAGCTGTGTGATAATTTGCTTTTAAGTCCATTTGACACTTTTTCTGGTTTTGTTCAAAGAAGTAACAGATCGAGTAATCAGCATGAATAATTCCGACTTAAGTGTATCATATTTACTATAAACGTAGCGAGGTTCATGTTGATATGAAGTTGTATTTCAGCAGCCATTTTTGAGATTTACTGCAAAGATAAAGTGTTTGAGTAGATATATGTTGAATTTTAGAAAGTGCATTTAAGGAAGGAAACTTGGCACTGATGAGGCTGGTGAGAACCATTCATATTTGCTTTATACAATATTATTTACTCGGATAGCTATTGAACTCTCCCTCTTTTATTAATCTGTTTCCCCCCATTTATTCTATGTAAAATAAACTTTGAATCACAATCAGACCAACAGGATCAGGATAGAATTGCTTAATACTCAATATTTCTATTAAAATAATTTATCGAACATCCAGTGATCATATTCAAACAACTTGTTTTTGTCTTATGAATGAAATATACATAGAAAGACGTGCACATCCACTCACATGCATGAAGAACTAGTGATAAAAGAACTAGTGCTGCTCGTTTGAGGGAGTTTTTGTAAAAATGGGAGATGACTGTGGGGGAAAATCACATTCAAGACAGACTGGAGAGACTTGCAAAAACAGTGTTTAAATGGCAAAAGGACAGCAGTACAAAGTCAACATAACGAGACGTTTACAGAACAGTGTGTGAAACAAGAAAATCTAAAGAAAAGACATTGAAATGTTTTTACATACAGAACAACAGAAGAGAGACGAGTAACACTCTAAACGTGGAGCGATTCGAGCCGCTGCTGCTGTCTGGAAGTTTTAAACCACTGCTAATATAACAGCGTATAACAGACAGGAGAAGCACTACAGGCCTTAATGAAAACATCCAGAATAATTATTAATTATCTGATCCTTTTTTGCATCAGTTTGGATCTTTCAAATGCAATTTCCAAAAGTGGCATTAAATGTAATTGGAGTAAATTAAAGGGAAGTGAGATTTTGCTTCAGTTATATTTAAATGTCAGATGATTTTTTTAGCCACTTTTCAATAAGCATTTTAGAGGAATTTTATCTTTTGAAAGTGCCCAAGAATATTTACATGCACAAATACACATTTTTATGCATTCATTTTGTTAAAGGTGGGGTAAGCGATTTTTCAAAAACGCTTTAGAAAACTTGTAGCCAATCAGCAGTAAGGGGCGTGTCTACACATGACGTGCAGGAGAGAGCGTTCAGTCCTCACATTAGCGAGCCGAGTGACAGAAAGATAGAGATGGCGGATAAAAAAACAAAAGAGGAAAACGTCTGCGGAACAAAAGAAGGCTTAAGGCAAGAAGTAGAACCCGTGTAAATATCGTATCAGCTTTCCAGCGCTGGAGAGAACTCAAGGAGCGGAAGGCCTGCGATCGGACGCCGAGGTTGCTTTGTTTCTTCTCGATAGGTGAGTAACACCGTGTCTAGAAGAGCTAAAGTCTGTCTAATACACTGGACGTGACAAAGCGACCGTTGAAAATCATTTGAAATTTGGGTCAATGCGTCATGAATAGAACGCAGCAGCAGTTTTCTGTCGGGGATTTGTTGTGTTGTGCCGCGCCGCATCCAGTGTAGACCATAGATATGTATATACAGTATATCTATGGTGTAGACAGCATCACTGATTATAATGAGTTCTATAGTATTTTGTCGCACCGCGCCACTCGCGTCCGTTGTAACATTTGTTTTGCTTTGTTTCACAGAACTAATCGTTGCCTGGATTGCGTACGTATGTGTGGGGCAGAGCTATCAAAATTTTGAGGGTAGGGGCGTGTTTGTTTTGGTGATTTCAAATGTCAACATTGGCTACCAGAAATCACTTACCCCACCTTTAAATATTCTGACAATTGCCAAACACTGGAGTTGTTTTCTGTGTAATTTTAATCACTTTATTATAATACACAAATTTGTTCAAATTTCTGTATTAAATTTGCATATTAAAAAGGTCACTATAGTGAATATTCATATGAGCAGTGTTTAGTGTAATGCATTACTAAGTAAATAGTTACTGTAATTAAATTACTTTTCCCAAGAAAAATGTGAAGGGGTTACTTTCTGTAATCCCTTTTAATTGCAGTTACTTCTGATGTCTAAAACTAGTGGATTTAACATCCAATTTTAACTTCTAATGTTAAAATGAATGTTTTCAATGTAACCTTCTCCCTTTAAATAATTAGGTCAGTTCAAGAATAATTTTCATGTCTGTCCTTGTATTGTTTAACTGGTCGAGGTTGATATGGGATTTAGAAAGTATTAATGAGAGAGTAATTAGTACAGTAACCTACAGTAGTCAACATTTGAAGTGGATCAAAACCTTTCATCAA